CTGGTATGACAATAGATGACTTTGCACCCCGCTTGTCATTCTTTTGGGGAATCGGTATGAACTTCTACATGGTAACACTAACTCGTCTCGAACATTATCTTTAAATTTAAATTACCAAACGAACTAAAATGTTCGATCGATCTAGGAAATTGCAAAATTGCGGGCGGCTCGTCGATTATGGGCTAGTTTGATTAACGAAAAATTTCATCCGAAAAATGAAAAGTCATTAATGTTACGTACTCACTGTCAAACTTCTGGTTGGTCGCTCACAGAGCAAGTAAGTACCTTTCCATAAAAAACATTATTTCCACATTTTTGGTGAGATGACACCCTTCGCCGAATTTCCAGGATCCTTATAACAACATTATAAGAACAACAATTGAAGCAATGGCCGCTACTCTTGGAGGTACCCAATCGCTACACACAAACTCTTTTGATGAAGCAGTAGGCCTTCCAACTGAATTTTCAGCTCGCATCGCGCGAAACACACAGATTATTCTCCAAGAGGAGGCGTTTATTCCTAAGGTAGCTGATCCGTGGGGAGGCAGTTACATGATGGAAAGTTTGACAAATGAAATTTACAATGAGGCAAGGGCGATCGTAGAGGAGATTGAGACTATGGGAGGTATGGCTGCGGCTGTCGCGAGTGGTATGCCAAAATTAAGAATCGAAGAAAGTGCAGCACGAAGGCAGGCTAGAATTGACTCCGGTCAAGGTTGTATTTTTTTCTCGTGTATATCGAAAACAGGTTGATTGCACGTGCTCAAAATGCTTATGCGCTATTATAGAGACTATTGTTGGTGTAAACAAATATCGACTTGAAAAAGAGACCATAATTGACGTCCGAACTATTGATAACACCAAAGTAAGAGAACAACAGACAGAAAATATAAATCGAATCAAAAGCTCGAGAGATAATGATAAGGTTTGTGAAACGAAATAATTTCTTGTTTTATTAGGATGTACTAATTTAATTTTTAATTTAGGTTGAAAGTGCGTTAAATGCTCTTACGGAATGTGCGAAAACTGGAAAGGGTAATTTACTCGAATTATCAATTGAGGCATGTATACTTGTTAAATAAAGTCATTATGGGCAAAGTAAGTTTATTAATATGTAATTATGGGAATATAGGCCTCCAAGGCTCGATGCACAGTAGGCGAGATATCACATGCGCTCGAAAAGGTATGGGGACGTCATGAACCGTCAAGTCGCGTTGCCAGTGGAGCTTACAGATCAGCTTATGGAACTGCGGAAGAAACAGAATCTGCATTAAAAGTTATTGAAGTATTTATCTTTTATTATTCACTTGACTTCGAAATTTTCTTAATTATATATAATATATTAATTTAAAAAAATTATAAAGGAAACACGAGATAAATTGGGTGTAAATCCTAGGATTCTGGTTGCCAAGTGTGGACAGGATGGTCATGATCGAGGTGCTAAAGTAATTGCATCAGCGTTTAGTGATTTCGGATTTGACGTGGACTTGTCGCCGTTGTTCAGCACACCAGAAGAAGTAGTACGTCAAGCTATTGATAATGACGCACACGTTATTGGTGTATCATCACAGGCTGCAGGACACAAAACATTGGTGCCAGCAATCATAAATGAACTCAAGCGACTTGGTGTCAATGATAAGATTATTGTAGTTGGTGGTGTCATACCTCACCAAGACTATCAATTCCTATATGATAACGGTGTAAGTTCCATATTTGGTCCAGGTACAAAAATTCCTGAAGCTGCAAAAGAGGTCGCGTCGAAAATAAAGGAAAATGCATAAGATTATGAAAAAAATTGGTCACTCTGAATGTAATTATTTCAAACCATCCCTTATAAATAAAGTAGGTACTTTTTATAATCGATATGTTTTCCGTATTTAATATATTTTCATGCGGAATATGCATAGGAAAGTGTCATGCATTGAAATATTAAATTATTATTTGGATGTCCACAAATGAGTTTTTTTATAAATTAAAACAGATTTGGAATTTATGTAAAAAAAAAATTTCTTTGTTAATAAACATTGAATCATTGTTGGTTTAATATTTTTGGAACATAATAACTTTTGGAACATAATAACTTTCTTGGAGGCCTTTTTCTAAAAACCATTTTATATAATGTTAAGATATTATGATTAAAACACAGTATAGGTGACACTCATTGTTAATTCCGTTGTTAATTATTCATGTGACATATGCTTCATTTAAACCAATATTATCACATTATATTGGGTTGATTGTTAAAACATACATGTATATTATAAAATTAGAATAACTTTACTAACAATAAATAGGATTTTTTTAGTAATTTTTTATTGATATTTTATTGCATGCATACTAGCATAAACAATATTTTAAAAAAATGAAACCATAATAAAATTACTTGAACAAATAATCGGACTTGCACAAGCTTTGTTATATATGACTACCCTTGTTAAAAACAGTTCTTATATACTGTATATAAATTTTATAAATCTCAAAATTTTATGAATTTAATTGTTTCTTAAATTATTAGATGTGCCATTTAATAATAATACAGTAGTATTAATAGAATATAACAAATAAGTGTCTCATAATTCAAAAGACCTCAGAAAATAAAAGATAAAAGCAAACTAGATTCATTCTGAGAGGATGCAACTAGTTACGTTTGATAAAAATATTTATTGTAGAATGTTTTGCCTACTTTGTATGCAACATCAAGTATATCTTTACTAGCTATAATGTCCGAAAATGCCATCCAGGAATATATAGTAGTAAACTTACTACATAATGTGTTGTTCGATGGATGGATAATTGTTATTTACTAAAAAATAACTTTTAGAATATATTCACGATTCCCTTTCCAAATCCAAGTCAAGTATAGCGATCACTGATCAGCTAAACTCTCAACAAGATATTGAGAGCGACTTGATATAAACAAAGCGGGTAAAGTAAGTTGTGCCTGTAAATAATACCTTTATAAGTTATTTTAAATGCAGTCAGTACATGAGGCACGTTTAAGTTTATGAATAAAGATAGTGGCTTCAACAGTCAAAAAAGGTAAAGTATCATAAATAATCCACTTGGCTATCATACTCGATTCAGTTTTTGAGCCAATGATAACTTGTCAATCGTGCTTGGAATAAAATATGGTAAAATTTTGGAAGTCTTTAATTTGGTTTTTATTAATGTACTACTAATTATCATGTCTTTATAAAGATCTTAAGAAGGAATCATATTTTGGATATTCATATATAAAATATATTATCGGGTTCCATTAAAATATTAAAAATTATTTTTTAAAAAAAAAATTTGAAAGCAAATAATTATATTAAACATGCAATATCGATATTACCTTACATATATTAATCTCAAATTTACATAATAATAACGGTACCTAAATTGTAATTTTTTGCTGTGTAAATTTTTCTGACGAATGTGTTGTGGTTTAAGTTCACTATAATATAGTAAACTCGAATTTTGCATCACATATATTAGACTTGAGTTAAAGTAATATTTTTGCAAGTACTAATCGGTTCATGACTCGAATTTACAAATCGAGTTATTTTAAAAACAGCCTTTTTTTTTTATTAATTAAGTCATCTGCTCAAGACTTAGCTGGTACCATTTGCATAACTAATACTAATTTATACAAAATTTAAAAAGCCTTAGATGGGTTCGGAAAATAAACGACTCTTTGAAACTTCCATAATTCTACATTTTTGACTTATCAATTAAAGATAAAAGGTAATAATTATTTAATTCCATTCGCGTTGTAAAAATATTATCTGAATAAATAAATTCATATAAACATACTATTAATAAGGATATAAGGATAACTTTAGGACTTTCAGGAATTACCACAGACGAATAACTCGATATGATTATTAATATTGATTATCCATATTGCTCAAATTCTTCGATTCAAGAGTGAGCGATAGGTCAAATTGACGAGTAATATATGCTAAAATTATAAAGTTTTTAGAAGTCTTGTTTTACACAAATATATTTAAATAGATAATAATATAGCATACCTTCATTACTTGTTCCGATTTTATTAACGACATTCATTCCTAGTTGTCCGGCATAATCAAGGCATTTGCTAGTAAGCAAATTCTGTGATGCCATTAGGGGTCGTGGGTTTCCCTTCAACTCCCTTAATCGTGCTCTCCACATTTTTTCTCGCTTTTTGGTAAATGATTGTAGTAAAACATGATCATGGTGAAATTCATTCCACCACTTATGAAGTTCTTCGTACAACTCATAGGCAGTTGGGCGATTAGTAGGAATAGGATTCCAACATTGTTTCATTAATTTGATATATGGTTCGGGCGCATAGTTTGGAATTGGCGGACGTTCACCACCACATACAGCGAGTGCTAGGTGAACATCATACTCTCTGTCAATAAACGGTGGTTCTCCAGAGAGTAATGATCATACCGAACCCATAGATGTCTGCTGCTTTAGTAAACTTTTCTCCACGTAATACTTCTGGCGCCACAAATGGCAAGACTCCATATAGTGACTGATCGACTAAATTTTCATTAGCTGGGCGACATAAACCAAAGTCAGAAATTGTCGAATCAAAGCTTTCTTTGTCGTAAATTCTATTCAAAATATTGCCACTATGAAAATCTTTATGGCAATAATTATTTTCGTGAATCTTATGCAACCCAAATCCAATATTAGAGAGCATATAAATAATTATTTTCCAAGTTATATTAGAGTAATGCGTTCGAATTAAATTCCTAAGATTTCCACCAGACTTAAACTCAGTGACGACAATATATTCTTTTGTTTGAGGATCGCGAGTAATACCTTATAACCGGTTAATACCAAAGCTATTAAAATTTCAATTGCACCTAATCTATATAAAACAGTTAATTATATACATGAAGATTTATTTAAATCTTTTAAAAAGTTGTGTTTATGATGCATACCTCATTTAAAAAATCCAATGTAAAATTTGTGGAATTTCGAAGTCTTTTCAAGGCTACTTTAATTTTACCAACTCGTTTCCATTTCGATTTTTTAATGCTCCACACGAACCCTATGTGTACTAATGGCCCGTCTTTCCAAATAGCCCTACTGACGCTTCCAAAACCACCTCTTCCAATGGTTTTAAATTCTTCGAGATTCGAATAGTCTATCCATTCAATTAATTCTTGTATACTATTCGCATTAAGTTGCGACTCTCTAATTAAGTTATTAACATTCGAGTCACCACTATCCCAAAATTGAAATTCATTACGAAAATGGTTGGAATTGCAATATTTGCAATAATGAGATCTAAAATCAGTAGGTTTAAAACGAAAATATATACAGTGTGAGTCATAAGTTTTTGGAATTTAATCAACGGTGATCTGTACATATGTTACTAACCAAAATTAGATAGGAACATACCATAAAAATTTACATGTAATAAAATAGATCTTCGACGAACTTACCCACGGATTCTTGACCCCTCGACTCTTTTCTTGCACCGTCGACCGAAGTTGAAATGACCACCACCACCCTTCACGACCAGCGTCAGTTGATATTATATTATTGGAACAAGGGTGTACGCATCGCAAAGGAAATACATACCAAAACAAATATACCTACCTCAACAATTTATTACAATCTTAATAAGTTGCGGAAGACTGGAAAAACAACGCATTTCAAAAGGACTGGTCGTCCACGAACGTTTTCGAACGAAATATCACAAAAAATCAGGCGTTATATAAAAAAAAATCCTTCCATATCTACAAGAACTTTGGTCGTGAAATTGGGTGGGGCAATATCCCAATCAACTATCGTGCGGCATTTGAAGGCTCTCGGTTATAGAAACGACGTCCCTAAGGCTGTACCAATGCTTACTCCTCTACAAAAAAAAAAATCGGTTGAAGTGGGCTAAAAAGCACCTGCATGATAATTGGAGTCAAACCTTTTTTATAGACGAAACGGCTTTTCAGCTGTTCCGTAACACCGTCGGACAGTGGCACAAGGGCTCACGTCCAATTCGTCGGGTTCCCAAAGATAGGAGAAAAATTCTTGCGTGGGGGGGCTTTTCTAAGAAAGGTAAGGTTAACTTATTTTGTTTTAGGGAGAAAATGACGGCCGAATTCTACGTTGGTATACTAGAGAAAAATATCGAGGACATCAAGGACATGATGGGAGTAAAGTGGCGGTTCCAGCAAGACAATGACCCGAAACATACGAGTCGTCTTGCTAAATCTTACCTCGAAAAAAATGTTCCAGAAGTCATCGATTGGCCATCCGGTAGTCCGGATTTAAATCCAATCGAAAACTTATGGAATATGGTGAAAACAAACGTCGAAAAAAGGATGCCGCGAAATTTAGATCAATTAAAAATATTTTTGGCGGACGAATGGCAAAAAATACCGGATTCTACATTAAAAAGTCTAGTTAGGTCAATGAAAAAAAGATGTAAGTTAGTAATAGAGAATAACGGTGATTGCATCGACTATTAAAATTTTTTTTTTAATAAACTACTGGTTTTTGTCTTTTAAATGAGTTATTACTTGCTACGATTGGTTTGGTGGTTGTGAAGTAATAAGAGTTTTTTTTTTCCAATAATTTATGACTCACACTGTATATATCTTGCATTCGGGACATTTTTTCATAATTTCTACTCCCTCCGGTATTCATTCTTCAATTAGAATTTAAACAAACGATCCCATAATGTATGCTTAATAATGCAGTAAAGTGGTAACACAGGTCTGGTCGCGGTACGTCGCACAGCAGCTATGTATGTTCCTCTTTTCTTCTTACCTTGTAGGCGAAAGAGGAGATTGGATTCGACCGATCTTTGTCCGTAGGTCACGTGATTCATTTCGAGCACAACGAAATAGAACACAAGAATTTTATCACACGGATAAACTTTATACGTTAAATTAGATCACTTTGCTGCTTTATTTGACAATAGAATAAGTATATTTATACATGTTTTTCCTTATCTCAATTAGCCTCTTTATCCCAATTATCCCAATTATCTTCTTTATTCTTTTTATCCCCCTTATTTTCATCACGATACCCGATAAAGCATCGCATGAGAAATCACTCCCTTTTCGCTATTCTAAATTAAAATGCAGGATTCGAATTTTTGACATCGTTCTGAAATGTGCATATAAAATGATATTAATGATTTATTCATCGACGCTGCCTCAGCGGTTTACAAAAACATCAGCAACTTTAAACTTTGAATTTAGATATTAGCAAATTAAAATTATTCAAGATTATCTGAATATTAAAAAATTAGTCTATTGACAAATATCAAAATAATGTGATTAAAAATAATAATTAAACATAAATTAAAAAATATAAATTAAAAAAAAAATATTAAAAAATATTTGATAAACTTTTTATTATTAGAAATTAATAATTTACAAAGAATTTTTATAAATTTGTATTTATTACAGTATACAATATTTTTAGTAAATATGAAATAGTATAATTATGTAACGATAAATATATAATCAGTAAAATTATTTTTGATAATTTAAAATTTTTCGAATGACTTGATACAATTCTTATCAAATTTTAAATAACTAAATTTTTTTAAAAAATACTTTAATATTTTCTAACTGCGTCTTTATTAAAAGTACTTTTTTTACATTTAATAAATATTTTTTCAAAAAATTTTTTTATTATTTATTTGAAAAAAACTTTATTAAATATATATACAGTTTTCTCAATAAATAAAGAATCACTTAAGAATTATTATAATTAATCAGAAATACAGTGGGTGCCCATATTATTGTGAACACTTTTTATTATGTAATAAAATAATTTAATATAGAAAAAAATATTTTTTTTGTATTAACACATATTTTTATTATGTCATAAAATATATTATACTTTAATTTTATGTAATTATAATGATTCTCTTAAAATCTATACTAAAAAACCTTGGTAACGAAAATTACATCAAACTGAAATTATAAAATTGGTAAAAAAAAAACTTTTTTTTTCTTAAAAAAAGCAAAATAAACTTTAATATTTAATAGAACTACTATTAGCAACAATGTAAACTATGACATAATCTGGCATATTGTTTACCAATTGACAACAAATTTTTAATAGAATGTTGCATCACACTTGTTTAACAAAAATCTTAAAATCATCAAGGTTACTAGGCTTTGATTTGCAACACACAGATATTTTAATCTCATGTCAGAGATTTTTATTGAATTTAAATCAAAACTTTGAACAGACCAATCCAAAATCCTAATTTTATAGTCTTCAAAAAATATAGCAATTTTCAAAATATGGGATTTTATGTTGTCTTGCTAAAATAAAGAATAATAGTGATTTATACTTTCTGGATACTTTTTTAAGATTGATATAGCATACTTATATAAAATCTTAACATGTAAAGCTTCAGTGACATTGTTAATCAATATAACTAAAGGACCAATTATATATCAAGAAAAACAGCTCCAGAATATATAGCTGCTTAGTTTAATAGTACAACTCAACTATTTGATATTCTATTCCTTGTATAGTTTATGTCAAACTCAATAATAAACTTGTTAAAAAAACTGAAAAGAAAATTTGTCTGATTAAAAAATATATCTGAAGCAATGGGCAGTCCAGTTTTTGCAAATAAAACACCAGGTAAGTTTTTTTAATATATTGAAAATAACACTAGTAGTTTTGAGTGTACAATATAGAAACTTAAATTTTCTTTTTTAAGAATATGATAAATTGTTTTTTTTGATATATTAGGTTTTTTTTGCAACAAAAATGATAGTAATCTAAGTGGCATTTAAATAGCAGTTTTTATTAATTACAAGAGTTTTAAAGAAGAAGAGATCAAAAATGATAATGAGTGATGAATATCTAGAATATTTACTTTATAGTTCTATAGTTTTATTCTTATGATACTTATATATAATATTACCTATAACTGACTTCTTATAGTTGACATTAGTAGTGATAGTATAATGAGTCTTTTTTTAAAAACTATAAATACAGTGATCATCATAAATAATAAGAATTTAATAACATGTAACTGCTATATATAAATTTTCTGATTATACACTCTTAACAAAATCAGCTTTTAATGACAGGTTGTTTATATATGTAACTTAAAAACAAGCCACCAAAAAACCCATCCCTATTTAGTTTTCCTGCTTTTTTTTTATTCTAAAATAGAAAAAATTCCTCTTGCTAACTGACGAAAAACCATAAGTGAGCTTTGAAACTGTGGTGTTCGCGATGTCCCGACTCTGACGAAATTAAGTGATGTTCTGCTTTCTACAGCATACAAGTATATTATCCAACTAAAAAAAAATCATAAGCTTGGACCTATTTTGCGCCCTGGACAACTAACAATTTTAACTCCCCCAAATTGATGTGTGCTATGATGAATTATTCAAAATGATCAATATCTTACTTGCGAAGAAATCGTCACTAAGCTTAATAATAAGGTTAAAATATCAGTACGAACAGTAAATCGTGAGCTTAATAAGCTTGGTTATTGCTCAAGTTACCTCTAAACAGTACCTTTACTTACCATGAAACAATGCGAACAACATTTAGAATAGGTGATTGCTTATGCAAGGCAGAACTGAAAAAATGTCGTATTTTTGAATAAAACTACCTTCTAAATATTTTGTAACACTATGATAGCATTTTATAAGACCGGAACAAATGTTTTACAAAAGGAAGTTCCAAAACACCCAGCGAAAG